AACCTGCTGGCTGGGCCGGGCGGCCTCGGGGTTCTGAGGCCCCGATGGCGCGAGGACTCGGCCGGGCCCTCGTGACCTGCACGCCGCCGTTTCTGTCGGAGTCTGAACTGGGCTCTAACTCCCTACGGAGCCGGAGGGTGGCGAGACGAGTTCCCGGCGCTGCGCTCTGCGACTCTGGCTGCATTTACCCCCACCCCTTTCTGTCCTACATCCTTGCCACCTTTCCTTTGTGTCTTCCTCCTCTTTCCTTTCTTGTTTGCTCTTTTAACAGTTGGGGAGTGGGGAAGTAAAATGAGGACGACGTCCTTGCCAGGTTGGCAGTTCCCGGGCCAGCGCTGTCCTGTGGTCGCGGCTTGGGGCAGATCGTGGAGAGGGCGGAGGCCTCCAGGGCACGCTGGCAGGGCGTCGGTCTGGAACGAGATGTGCTCTGTAATGCGCTTCTGAGTTGCATTAGGCTGAAAGCATAGGGAACTTCATTTATCCGTTCACCAGGTTTGAGGACGTCTGCTCCTCCAGGCTGCCTGGCCTTGGAGGTTATTCATGATTTTTTTTTTTTTTCAAATTGCTCAGAAACAAATAGAGGCGAACGCTTACTCTGAGCGGTATGCAGATATAGGACCAGCAGTATTTGAGGTCAATGGTGAGATTCTCTCAGGATACTTGAACGTAAAGATCATCTTGTAAGAATTCTCACTGCAGCGTGGTTCACACCAGAAATGAGCTCCCTGGACAGAACAAGCCTTTACTGAGAGAACACATCCAGTTCAGGAGTAAAACCAAGAAAACCTTGGGGACAGATATTGACATGGTCCCTGTCTGAAGGGGAGCGACCCTTGCCGAGGTATAGAGACTATCTGGTTCTGGTGGTAGAGACAGTCTTATCTCTATCAAAGCTTGGTATGATCCCATTAAATGTTTGACTCACGCTACAAAACCTTGTACTCTGTTTCTTTTCTCAATAAAATACAGTTCTGAATGCTATTTTAATCACCATATGTTTTTTTGTTTTTGTTTTTCTTTTGGAGAGGTTTTTGCTATAGGGCGGGTGTACAAAGCTAGAAGTCACCCCCCAGGGGGCGATGGCGGTGTAATCCCTTCCCTTCTCCATTCTTGGGATTTGGACTGGCGCCACCGAGTTGGGGACTCAAATCGCTGTCAACTACCTAGGAGTCCAGAGACATAGCCATTATGCCAACTGCTGGTCTGCACCCCACCATGTGGTTTTTATACAAGGAGAGTATGCCCTGACTAAATGACAACAGCCATGTTGCTTGACAGTTAAATTTTTCATCATAAGTTAGTGCATTGGTATCTTGATCTTATGCAGGAGTGCCTGGTGAACATGATTCAGCATTTCTGGTCCTGTAGGCAGGCACCAAAGCCAGACTCTGAATTGAGGGAATTCACCAAGATAAATGCCACTCAGCCCCCTGAGCCAGCCATCTTTCTGACCCCATGGCTTTGTAACAGCTTCCATACCCCTTTCTACAGAAAGGAGTCTGCATGTAGATCAGGAACCGAAACATTGTGAAGACTTCTGGACCTTTGTAACTTATTTCTCTTTACTGCTAAGTCCTTTAGAGTGACAAGATTCCACCTGAGTACAGCAAACCGGACAGAGCAGAGAAGCTGTGTTCACCGGCTGGGAAAACCTAGGGGAAGGAGGGAGGGATGGGTGGCTTTTTTTTTTTTTTTAAAGGAAAGTGATATTCTGTTTTGCTCTTGAGAAAAAAGAAAAGTACCTAAAATTAGTCTGGTTCTGAAGAATAATGGACTTTAAGTAGGTTTTCAACAATTGAGAGTAATGTGGAAAGAGAAAAGGGCTCAAAGAAAAACCTTGGAATGAACAAAGCAGGTAAGAAGACAGCTTTAGAAATGGGTTAGTAAGTGGGCCAGCAGGTGGCGGGGTGGTTAAGGTGCTGGATCCTATATGGCCAACTTAGTGGTGTGAGTCCTAGACCTTGAAGCCTAAAAAACATGGAGCACCTGCCCAGGATACTGAGAGGAGAAAGGATTCCAGAAAGTTCATTTTCCTCTCTCTCTGTCTCCAGCAACAGGATACTGAGAGGAGAAAGGATTCCAGAAAGCTCATTTTCCACTCTCTCTGTCTCCAGCGAGTGCACTTGTCCTATAGCAAAAAAAAAAAAAAAGTTAATAAATGCCCAGTGATACAGTCATAAAAAGGGTTTAAGAAATGGCCCTTGGATTTGTTAGCTAGAAGGATATTTTTGTTTTGTTTGGCTGGTTTTATACTGTATTTTTAATTTTTAAAATTATTTTCATTAAGTTTTAAATTTGGAACAGTCATAGTTCCAAAGTCAAAAGATATAAGAGGATAAACTTTATTATTATACTGAAGGTCTCAACAGTTCCAAAAAGGCAAGCAAAAATGTCCAAGGATTGGGAGCGAGTGCAAAAATCTGTTACCTGGAGAAAGCATGATAGTTTATCCTATTTTATACATAATTAAAACTCACTAGTAGTAATAAGTGAATTTAACAAGTTACTGGATACAGTCAGTGTATAAAAACCAATTGTATCTTTATATACTAGCATTAAACAATTAGAAAATTAACTTTTTAAAAGGTGATATCATATATAGAGTCATCAAAAATATCAAATACCTTGTGTCAAGGCTTAAATTTATGCTTTCTTAGTTCCAGAGGCCAGAAATCTGCAATGAAGGTTTCAACAGGACAGCATTCCCCCCAGTAGCTCTGGGGTAGAATCTGATCCTCACTTTTCTCCAGCTTCTGGTGTGAGCTGACAGTTCTTGGCTTGAAGCCGTATCACTCTAACCTCTGCCTCTGTCTTCACATTGCCTTCTCCTCTGTATGTCTCTGGAATTTCCTTTACTTCTCTCACATGTGGACAATATGATGGCGAAGTCTGGAAATTTATAAACTAAAGTATCAAAATGAAAGGGAGGATCTAAGCTAATGTCAGGATTTGGGCTTGGGTATTTAAGTGGATGATTGTGTCGATATTGAGATGGCACTAAATACTAAATTTATTAATTTGAGGGGCAAGGAGAATGAACTCCCTGGATGTATTGGGTACTCCATAGGGAGATGTCCAGCATGCAGTTGGATACATAATTAAGATCAGGGCTGGAGAAAGTGATTTGTAAATCATTGTAGCTAGCTAAAGTCGTGAGAGTTGTCTTAGTCTGTTCAGGCCACCATAACAAAATACCTTAGACTGGGTGATTCATAGAGTTAGTAGAACTAACTATGCCTTGTTCTGGAGGCTGGGAAATCCAAAATCAAGGCATCAGAAGACTCAGTGTCTGGTGAGGGTACTACTTCACAGCTGATGCCTTATTGGTGTGTCTTCACAAGGTGGAAGGGGAAAGGCAGCTCCCTCAACCTCTCTTTAAGGGTGTTCATTTTGTTTACGAAACCAGAGGCCTCGTGAATGAATCATTTCCCTAAAGGGTCTACCTATTGATACCGTTACATCTGGCATTAGTTTCCAACATAAGAGAACTTGGGGAACACATGCATTCAGATCATAGCAAGACTTAACTAAATCACCCAGAAAGAGCATATAAAATGAAAAGTATAATGAGCTGAGAATGAAAAGTAGGGGAACACTAACATTAAAAGACCAAAACGAGGAAAAGAAATCTATAAGAGAGAGTGAGAA